TGACCCACAGTGACACTGTATAAGGTTTCTGAGGAGCAGTTGGTAAGCTTCAACCGCCAACCTTGCGGTCCAAACTAACTTTACAGTCCAGCGCATTAATCCACAGCACCACACCAAGACTCCTATTAAACACTTAGGGCCCAACTAATTTATATTCTCTTTAGATCGATGACTAAAAGGAGAAATAAAGAAACACTGAAATGAATGATTACAATGAACTTATTTATTTTAATTGTTAAAATCTACCACATTCCTATAAGCTCACTTGTTGTTGTTGCTAGGTGCCAACGAGTCGGTACCGACTCATAGCAACCCTCTGCACAACAGAAGTAAACACGGCCCGATCCTGCACCATTCTCACTATTGTTGCTATGCTTGAACCCATTGCTGCCATCACTGTCCCAATCCATCTCATTGGGGATCTTCCTCTTTTTCTCTGACTCTCCATTTTACCCAACATGATGTCCTTCTCCAGGAACTGGTCCCTCCTGATAATACTTCTGAAATATGAAAGATGAAGTCTGGTCATCCTGGCTCACAATTAATATTAACCAAATGACAAGCAAACAAATAAAGAAACTAATTGCTGTCTAGTTGATTCCAACTCATGGAGACCACATGTGTGTCCATGGAGAACTGTGCTCCAGAGGGTTTTCAATGACTGAATTTTGGGAAGTAGATTCCCAGGCCTTTCTTCTTGAGGTACTTCTGGGTGATTGACATAACCAACCTTTAAGTTAGCAGCAAGTGCATTAACTGTTTGAACAACCCAGGCAGGGGCTCTTCATCAATATAGATTTATTTGCATATATCATTAAAAGTTAACTATATTATTTTTAAACTTGAAATATATATAAAACATTGGAGAATAAGCATTGGAATACAGGTTAGTTTGAATTGCAAGGTCAGCGGTTCAAACCCATTCAGCCACTCCTCAGAGACCTTATCTAGAGTCACTCTGTGTCAGAAGGGACTTGTTGACACTTAACAACATGTTAAGTGCCATCTAGTCATTTCTGACTCAGAGCAACCCTGGATAGAGTTTCCAAGGAACATTTGATGGGTTAGAACTTCAGAACTTTCAGAGAGTGACTTCTGGATTAGCACTTGTCAGCAGTTCAAATCCATCAGCCACTCCTCAGAAACCAGATACAGCTGTGAGTTGGAACCGACTTGACAGCATTTAAAATAACAACCACACACACACACACACATATATATATAAGATATATGTTTTTGTTTTCATATATACACACACACACACATACATAGGCAGTTCAAACTCACTAGGCGCTCCTTGGAAACCCTACACAGAGTGACGATGAGTCAGAACCGATTTGATGGCACTTGAAAACTATATGTATATATTTATCTTCCCCTTCACCCAAGTCCATGTGTGTCTGTCCTATAGCAATTTGCCCTTCTTTTCCCTTATACAAAGACTTATAACCATCAAAGACTGTTTCATTTAGTATGGAAATCTTTTCTTGACTATTTACAATATTGGTCTCATGCAATATTTGTCCTTTTGTGATTGACTAATTTCACTCAGCATGATAGCCTCCAGGTTCATCCATGAGGTGTTTTGCAGAGTCCTGGTTATTCTTTGATACTTTGTAGTATCCCACTGTGTGCATGTACCACGGTTTGTTTACCCATTCTTCAATTGATGGGCATATAAGTGTTTCCATCTTTTTACTACTATGTATAGTACTGAATTAGGGGTCCTGGTGTGGCGCTGTGGACTACTGCGTTAGACTGCAAAGTCTTTTGAGCCACACGGGCGTTGGTTCAAGCTTACCAGTTGCTCCTTGGAAACCCTATACAGGGTTGCTATGGGTCAGAACCGACTTAATGGCACTTAACAACAACAACATAGTGCTGCATTGAACATAAGTGCACATGTATCTATTCATGTTATGGCTTGTATTTCTCTAGAATCTATATTAAGTATTAGGATTGCTAGATCATACAGCATTTCTTTCCATCTTTTTAAGGAAGTGCCATACTGTTTTCCACAGTAGTTGCACCATTTAACAGCCCCACCAGCAATGTATAAGGGTTCTAGTATGTCCATGTTTCACTAGCATTTGCTGTTTCTTGTTCTTTTATAGGTTTTTTGTTTTTGTTTTTTAACTTTTCTATTATGCTGGAGTAGGACTGTATCTCATTGCTGTCTGATTTGCATCTGGCTTTGTACATTAAACACTGGACTGCTAACCACAAGGTTGATCGTTCAAGTGCACCAACTGCTCTGCAAGAGAATCATGAGGCTTTCTGTTCCTGAAAAGAATTACAGCCCCACTGGAGTCCTGGTGTGGTGCTGTGAGTTAATTCATTAGACTGCAAAGCTGTTTGAACTGCAAGGTTGGTGGTTCATGCACACCAGCTACTCCTCAGAAGCCCTATACAAGGTCGTTATGGGTCAGAACCAACTCGACGACACTTAACAGTAACAGCATGATTTAGAACCAACTCAAGTGCACTTCAGCAAACAACAAATAACTGATGACCACATGCATTTCTACCTATATTTGTTGACTGTCTGAATGTCTTCTTTGGTCAAGGATCTTTTCATGTCTTTGGTTCAGTTTTTAAATTGGATTATTTGTCTTTCTGTTGTTGAGGTGCTGAAGTTTTCTGTAACTGTTAGAGTCTGTTGTCTGATATGTTGTTGCTATACATCTTCTATTTCTTAGCACAATAGTTATATTTTCTTTTGAAACTAATCATTAAAGAATTACATACAGAGAGGTTACATATAAAGTATTATAATTAATAGTGGTTAAGCATTGGAAAACTGAAAGGTAATAAGTTTGAATGTATCAGCCACTGCATGAGGGAGAGATGAGATAATCTTCTTCTGTAAAGGTTTACATCCTTGGAAACCCTGTGAAGCAGCTCAACTCAGCCCACATGTCAGAATTAACTTAATAACAATGGGATTTCCTTGCCATACATACAGTATTAAGAGCAAGAGATGTTTTCAAAGCTTTGATAATTATAGTTTGTGCTGGACAAAAGATGAAGGGGCTATCTGAAAACAGCTATAAAGTTAGAAATCATTTTCCCTCAGGCCCAAGAACATGTGGCAGTAAGGAATCTGCAATAGAACCCGACTGCTATCAAGTTGATTCTGATTTGGTGACTCTATGTAGAGTTTCTGAGGCTGTAGATCTTTGCAGAAGCAAAAAGCTTCTTCTTTCTCCAAGGAGAGGCTTGAGTTCAAACTGCTGATCTTGTGTAGCAGCCCAACACGCAACCCACTTATGTTTGTAAGCCACTAGGAGTTTGTAACACTTGCCTGAGCAGGACAGAAGGCAAAGAAACACGTGGCTAAGAGACTGAGGGCCAGAGAGAGGTGTGCCTGTGACATGGATGACAAGAATTACTCCTGATCAGAGAAATTATGTGTCCTGAGTTGTTGATAATCCAGAATTATACCCTGTATTAACAGATCAATGTTCAACCATTTCTAGAGGTTGGGCATAAATGATCAAGAACTAGTGGCATTGAAGGAAAAATGCCAAGGTACATTGAAGGTGAAAAACAAAGCTCTAGGAACAGATAGAATTCAAATAGAAACATGTCAACAAACTGATGCAACACTGGACGTGCTCACTCATCTATGCTAAGAAATTTGGAAGACAGCTAAATGGCCATTCAATTGGATGAGACCCAAATTTGTGTCCATTCCAAAGAAAGGTGACCCAACAGAAGGCAAAAATCATTTAACAATATCACTAATATCAAATGCAATTAAACTTTTGCTGATGATCATTCCCAAAAGGTTGCAGAAGTACATTGATAGAGAGCTGCCAGAAATTCTGCTACCCAAGACCTCTTTAAAGTGTTCAAGAGCAAAGATGTCAGTTTGAAGACCAAGGAGCACCTGACCCAAGCCATGGTATTTCCAGTAGCCTCATATGCATGTAAAAGTTGAACAACGAATAAGGAAGACTGTAGAAGAATTGATGCATTTGAATGGAATGCTAGAAGAATAACCAGATACATGCTGGAAGAAGTATAGCCAGAATTCTCCTTAGAAGCCAAGATTGCAAGGCTTCAACTCTTTTTCTTTGCATATGTTGTCAGGGAGGATAAATTCACAGAGGAGGACAACGTAGAGAGTCAATACAAAAGAGGCATACCCTTAACAAGATGGGCTGACGATGGCAACAAACAGTGGTCTCAAATATAACAACCAATTGTGAGTATGGCGTAGATCCAGGCGGTGTTGGATTATTTTGTGCCTAGGGTCACTATGCGTCAGAACTGGCTTGGTGGCACCTAACAACAGCAGCAACAAACTTCCATTTTAACCTTATAACCGTGAGAATTGTCTGTGAATTCTACATGACTATTGCGATGCATTATGGAACCCAGCAGGGAAGCAGAGTGCCATAGCAGGGAAGGTTGGTATCAGAATAAGATAAAGGAGGTTGGTGGGTAGAGGCATGTCTGACTTCCACCTCATAGGAAACAGCCTTGGACTGATGTGGAGTCTGATTCTTCTTCCCTTTTGTGAAGCCAAAGTCTATCAGGCATAGCCCTCACATCTATTATTTTGCAATGCCCTTCTCCAAAGCATGTGCTAACTTGGCTGGGCCATGATTCTCGTGCCTTGGCAGTTATATAATGATGTAATTTGGCAG